TGAGTACAGTTACTGCTGGTAGCCCCGGTTTGGCCTACCAGGATTTGGTTTTCGGACCTCATAGCCCTGCTGGCGGGTCTCTCGTGGGAGATCCCCATCAGCAGGGACCTTCTGTCCCAGGCGGGAGGAATGATACTTCATCCCCTACCCGACCTGTGGAAACTGTGGGTGTGGCCTCTGAGGGGGCCCACCTCATAGAGTATGGACTGTCAACCGAGGTTGCTCAGACCATTCTAAGCTCCAGGGCTCCCTCCACAAGGAAGCTTTATGCCCTAAAATGGGCTCTCTTTTCAGCTTGGTGCAGAGAACACCAGCTGAACCCAGTCAGCTGCCAGGTAGGCTCAGTGCTGGAATTTCTCCAAGATCGCCTGTCTGCTGGGTTAGCTGCATCCACTCTAAGAGTGTACGTGTCAGCTATAGCGGCCTACCGTTCTCCCCTAGATGATGAGTCACTAGGACAGGATCCGCTAATTCGTCGCTTCCTTCGTGGAGCCATAAGGCTAAGGCCTGTCAGCACACACAGGGTACCGACATGGGATTTAACATTGGTGCTCGAGGGCATCTCTGTTCCCCCATTTGAGCCACTGCAGGAGGCGTCAGATAAGTTTCTGACACTAAAAACAGCTTTCTTATTAGCTATTTCTTCCTTGAAAAGGGTTGGTGACCTCCAGGCTTTGTCGGTTGCACCTTCATTTCTGGAGTTTGCTCCAGGCATGTCCAAAGCCTTTCTTTATCCCAGACCGGGGTACGTGCCTAAGGTGCCCACTCATGTGGCGAGACCTGCTGTGCTACAGGCCTTTCACCCGCCCCCATTTCAGTCGTCGGACCAAGAGAAGTTAAACTTACTCTGCCCAGTTAGAGCTCTGAATACATATGTTAACCGGGTTATCAACTGGAGAAAGAGTGAACAGTTACTGGTCTGCTTCGGACCCTCAAAAAGGGGGAGTCCGGCAAATACGCAGACAATAAGTAATTGGATAGTTGAGACTATCTCATTTACCTATCAGGCTGCTGGACGCCCTGCACCTAAAGTTGTTAAGGCCCACTCCACAAGGGCTGTCGGGGCCTCCAAAGCTTCTATTTCGGGCTCAGCCCTTTCTGACATTTGTTTGGCGGCAGGATGGTCGACTCCACATACATTTGTGCGTCACTATCAACTCGATGTAGACCCCTCACCAGGGTCCTCTATTCTCACTGCGTAGTGTGCGTTCACAGTCAGCAGTGAGTCTGGCCTAGTGGGTATTGCGTTCCCCTAGCGTTCTGGTTAGACACAGTGTTGAAGTTCCCTATAAGGGGAACGTCTCGGGTTACGTATGTAACCATAGTTCCCCGAGAGGGAACGAGACACTGCGTATTCCGCCATACTCTCTTCTGCCTGTTACTTCTTTCAAGCAAATTCGAAGTTGATACTGAATGCTCAGTACAGGCTTTTATACTCTCTGGTCTGACGACACCAGCTTAATTACATTAGATTGATTTCACATGTGCTTCAAGACGCGTATAAAAGAGGTGTTCCCCTAGCGTTCTGGTTAGACGCAGTGTCTCGTTCCCTCTCGGGGAACTATGGTTACATACGTAACCCGAGACGGTTTCGCTGTTTGATGTTGCAAGCTGATATTTCCTTATTATATTATTCTACTTAGTCTATATAGTCATGCAAACATTTGTTTGTAGAGCAAGTAGTTTGACTGTTTTCTGCCGTTTATTATTCCTAGTCATTTCTCGCATAGGCGACTGAATCAAAAGTTCTAAAATAATCACAAAAACTGGCGCACTTCTGAGTGAGGTCAATTTTAGAGTGAGGTCAATATCACACATATTCAGATAAGATTTTAATTTATTGATTTACTCTGCAATATAACATACATCTCAATTTCAATATGCTCTGCTGGAGAAGGCCTCTGAATTAAAGTTCATCTATTTATTTTATTCAATATCATTTCAGTCTAATTAAAAGGATCAGACATCAACAATCAGGACACATGCAGTGATACAATCACACACATTATGTCTCACACATACACTGTAATAGCACACACACACTCACCCTTGCACACTTAGTTTGAATATTGTGCTTTACAGCAATCTTTTAAAGTCCCTTTCTTTTAGTTTCAAAACCTGATAGCAGGAAGAACACAGGAGACCTAACAGCATATAAACACATACAAACAATCACACACCCACATACGAACCTATACACACTCTCACACACTGACAGAAGAGGTGTTCAAAAGTCACAATGACTGTGAAAACATTTGAAACAGCATGCTCTTAGGATTTGATAGAGTTCTGAAAGTGGCAACTATTTTTACATAGCACACACATTTAAAGACATCAAAGTTCTGAAACATCTAGGACTGAGTTTAGTGCTCTGAGCACAATTAACAACTAATTCAATACGACAGCTTATGATTCTTAAAGGTGAAGTGTGTCATTCTGCTGCACATAATGGAACCAGAATTGAAAATATAAATGAATTGATTCAACAGTAAATTTGAGTAGTGTTTTCTATTTACCACAGTCTGCTTCAATGCAGTTGCCTGATGATTGTAGCTTAATTAATACTTTGCTTTAAATCTAAGTTGGTAATGAATTGATTTGTCTCATAGCTTGTTGGTTTGGTTAAAGGCTTACAACTCTTTAACAAAGACTTTCTAAGAGAGGTGACTCTGAAGAAACATAGGCCATTGAAAAGTGATCAGGCAAGGATCCGCTCTATGGTCATTTATTTTAGCAAGCAGTGGGTTTTACAAATGTTCTTAAAGGTGACATTAGATTAAACCTTCATGTTTTAAAAATTTTCTGTGTTTAGGATTCAGCTAGGTCTGCCAGCTCAGACAAGTTGAAAAGAAAACACACAGCTTGTTCATTATTCAGTGAATGAATTTATGTGAAATTAATTGACCTGTTTGAATCCTGTGTTTATAAGTAACCAGATACTTCCGTGCCTTCTTCCAAACAAGCTATGGACTTCGTCCTCCTCCCACCTCTTTTTGTAAAATGATAACAAAGTTTCTAACAATGATGCCTTGCTTTTTTCTCATTTGAACAATAAAGTGATCCTGGCATGCAGTCTGCTCAGCGTGTTCAGATGTTAAGTCTCACATGTGTTATTACACATAATCTCAGCTTTAGAAGAGGAAACAGCTAGATGAATTAGCTTTAAATATAAAGGTAATGTCCTAAAAATGGGGGTAAAAACTTGCTTGTGTGTGCAAAACAACTAACGCTAAACTAAAAGGACAATTGACGCTAAACTCATATAAAAATTGCATTTAAAGGATGTAGTTGTACCTACAATTTGTCTAAAAGATATGTAAGCATTTTTTATATACAGTGCTCAGTATAAGTTAGTACACCTGATTTTGAAAATGAGTATTTCTATCCATTTCTCAGTGAATCTAGGCAATGTATTTTAGTGCATTTAAACTAAACAGGTTTATTAAACTGATATGTTTATAAAATAATATTTTAGTCACCAAACATATTTAGTTATTGAAAGATAAAACAATTCAAGCTAAAAATAGCAAAAAATTACAATCTACAAAAACTACATTCTTCAACTTTTTCTATAACATAAGTTTGGGTGTACTAGTTTTTGAACCGTTATTGTAAGTTATTTTGTTAGATAAGCTCCAGATTTGGCTTTAGTACTGACTAATCTAATGTATATGAACAAATAAAATATTGTTGAGCTTCCTATTAAAAATATGAATTCAAAAGATAGATTCGTGGGGGGTGTACTTATAAATGCTGATTACTGTATATCATTTGAATTAGTTTAGTTTGGTTACGCCAGTTTAAGTTCACTTATGTTTAGAATCAGATCATCATCTTTCATGTTCACAGCATTGTTTGTCAGTGTGGTGTTGTTGATTTACACAAATGAATAACATTTGTTAAATACTGAAGTTTCACTTTTATTATGTATAGATGTTTGTTTATGTTACATCACATTTAGTCATCATATTGTGAAAACAGATTTTAATACTTTGTTTGTCAGAAATACAGACAAAAGTCAGCAGTTGCTCGAGTTTTAGTTGAGTGCTGTGTGTGTACTATGCTAGTTTAGCTTCTACAGAATAGATCAGTAGGTTAAACACAACTGTGACCCTGCATCCTCAGAAAGGGATGGGAAGCAGCAGCTCATTAGTATTTAAAGAGATATAAAGCAAAATGGCTCACTGTGTACTAAAACTGTGTGTTTTTGTGACAGAGTAAATGCTGTTTATCTACACTGCCATTGAACTTTAACCGAAGATAATATAGACTTTTCATTAAGACCTTATCATATTAATAAGCATCCAATGTCACCTTTAAGCCACCTCTTGTGGCAGCATCCACCAAGTTGTGTACATTTAGCAATTTTGAAACCATTTTTAAAAAGCCACATATTGAATTTTTCAAGAAGTCAGTCTATGAAGGGCTTATAGTAATAGTGAAAGCATTTACCAACACACTTCACGTTTAAGAGCTACAAATGATTTGTCCCTGCTTCTTTTGAACCTATGCTAAGTAAACCTGACTTTGTTTCTGACAAAGGTGGTAAATAACTTGGAGTGTGCTATCAGTAGCATGAGAGGTTAAAGAGTTAGCAATCATGCTAACAGGGTGCTACAAATTGCCTTTGTGTTTAGAATTACTTTGCATGCATTAATGTTTATACTGGACAGCTGAAGTGACAGTATTATTTGTCTGTTTTGCCCTTTGTACATGCTCCAATTAGAAAAATACCTGACTGAAAATTTATGAGCCTTATAAGGGGAAAAGTACAACATGATATTATTGCTAAAATGCCTCCCATGCATAAATTCAAGTAACAAGAGAAACCTTCGCAAGACAATAAGAGACAAAGTATATTTCAAGCACTGAGCTGGTTTAAGCTACTGTTCTGTGGTGCAAATTCAAACGTGTGAATTATTGTATTAGAGGTGATTTGTTTTCAAGAACGTGATTCTGCTCTATTCATCCCAGCACTGTGAGACACCAAAGCACAAAAATAACATTTCTCTTATTTTATGCAATTATTGTATCCACACCAGTGTGCAATCATTACAATTTGAAATACTCAAAACATCCTTTACAGACATACAGTTTTGTTCTTGTACCGACATCCAATGGTTCCTATGAACTGCTAGCATTGGGCTGAGCTCTGCAACAGACATGAATATGTAAAAATGAAAATAATATAGTATTAATTACATAATTATTTAACATTAAAATGCTGCTACTACTACTATTACTACTACTACTACCAATAATAATAATAATAATAATATTAATAATAATAATAATACTTTAAAGTCTACACGAAACAGCATTCATAACACATTTTAATGTAATATAACAATATTTCAGTAAAACTGGAAAATAACACAGAAGACTAAACTATTTCATTCATTGTTAAGATTGTTTTCTTTAATGCAATAATTAAATGTAAGAATAAATATATATGACTGTTGATAAACAACCTTGCAATAAATATTTTCTTTGTAGCAATTTGGCTATTTATGTAGGCCAATAGACTTTTTAGCACAGCAGTTTTTTTATTATATATTTTGTCTTTTTTTCTTTATTATTATTAATAATATTATTATTATAATTGCATTATATAAGCAGAAATAATATTTATGGTGATTTTCATGTTTACTTGATTAAGAATGATTCAGAAAACTTACATAGGTTCTTGTGGAATCTCACTTCCTTGGAGAAAGCTGTTGATTCTTCATTAAGAAATGAAAAAGTTAGATGTGTTCATATAACTATGACAGTATTACATAAATACAGAGGGAAAACCATTGAACATCTGGAATACTCACCTAGAGCTTTCCGCAGCTTCCCGCAACTCCTCATCCACTCTAAAGACGCAGAGATTAATTAGGTAATGGTTGAAGTCAAAAACTTTATCCCACATGAAATTTTTACTCTTTTTTTATATTTCCAAAGTGTTGTTTAACATAGAGAAGAAAAATGTCAACTCATTTTTAATAACAAATTTCTTTTGTCTTTATCATGATGACTGTACATAAAATACAAGTACAATTAGATAGTATACAGGTTTTCAGCCTAAAGTGCAAAAGTCTTAACCAGGTTAATTAGGCAAGTCATTGGACAACAGTGGTTCTTAATGGGGCTGATAATTGAACTTACATTTTTTATTTAAAAAAAAATGCAATAGCCGTTTTTATTTGACCCAAAATAAAAGAAAAAAAGACTCTCTGGAACAAAAAAATATATAATAGAAAATACTGTGAAAATTTCCTATCTCTGTTAAACATCACTTGGGAAATATTTGAAAAAGACCAAACATTTCAACTTCAGCTTGGTTGTATACACCTATGACTATTTAAAAGCAACCAATTATGCAAAAATCACTTTTATTAGGGGTTAAACACAGTTATGTGGCAATCGTCTGTGGATGTAATGTGCTTCTAATGTTTTTTTTTTTTTTTTTTTTTTTTATATATATATAAATCACACTTCATAAAAACAGTTTGCAAAAACACTTTGATTGACATTCTCCCTTTGTACATGTCATCAGAGGGGGAAGGCCTCTGGGGACATTAGTCTTGTTTTTGAATCTGTAATGCTGACACATAGGAATTTGTAGCTCCACCCTGATTTGAAAGGAGTACAATTTCATTTGAATTTAAAGCAACAGTCACCAAAACGGCACAATTTGGATGGAAGCCTAAAAGGTCCACTATGTGGGATATTTTGAGCTGAAACTTCATAAACACATCCTAGGGACATCAAAAACTTATTTTACAATAAGTCTTATCTTGTAAAAAGGGGCAGAAAAATGCAGAAAAATGTTTCAAACAATTCATTCATGTTGTCCCAACACAAATTGATTAAATTAACTTTTAACAAATTAACACTTTTAACAAATGTATGCGGATTGAACATTAAAAAAATTAAGTTGTCCTAATGAAATCTCAAGAATTGTGTTGTTTCAGCTCTTTTTAAATACATAGTTTGAACAAATAAAATGTAAATATTTATATATTTGAGTGTAATTGGTCCTTTTTAAATGAAATAAGAAATAAAGAATAGTTAAAACAACACAAAATAAACATTGACTCAGTTTTCATATATAAACATCTGACAATAAATTCATTAATCATAATATTTAAATTAATATTTATTATTTATCAATATTTGTGTGGCGGACGGTTTCGCGTCATCCGCCGCAGTTTCGGCCCTTGTTTTGACTCTCGAGGCGTGTCCAAACGCCAGGTAAACACTATATAGTGAGCACGCTAGCTTTAGTCGGCAGGAGAAGCATTTTACCAACGAGACCAGCAGCCTGTAAGTACATTTAAGACTTGTTTCAGTTGTTGTGTATGGTTTGAGGACTAGTTTTCAGCTGTTTGTGTAAGGTTGTAGGACATTTAAACTTGCTTTCAGTTGTGTATAATACTAGAAGTGTTTAGCCACTGTTTCCTTGGTTACTATAAGAGCTTGTGTAGCGAACGCAGACGGTTTCGCGTCGTCCGCCGCAGTTTCGGCCCTTGTTTTGACTCTCGAGGCGTGTCCAGCTGAATTCAATCAGCTAGTGATTTGGGGTTATATAAGCAACTAGTTTCACTGCGGCAGCAGTTGCGGCAGCCTCGTGTGAAGACCGGCGAGTGTAAAGACCATCGACTCTACCTTCGCCATCGACTCTACCTGCGCGACTCAAGACCGACAAGTGTAAAGACTATCGACTCTACCTTCGCCATCGACTCTACCTGCGCGACTCAAGACCGACAAGTGTAAAGACCATCGACTCTACCTTCGCCATCGACTCTACCTGCGCGACTCAAGACCGACGAGTGTAAAGACCATCGACTCTACCTTCGCCATCGACTCTACCTGCGCGACTCCACCAAGCAAAGACACCGACAAAGCACTTGAGTACTTTATTTTCTTGTTTTACTTTATCTTTACACTTATTTTTTGTTGTCATTGCACTTTTATTATGTGTTTTCTAATTCCTGTTGTTACTAACACTTGCAAAACACAGGAGGTACGCTGCAGGCGTAATCCTCACAACCTTCGTTCAATACATGTATCTGCTATTTCACAACTCTCTCTCTCCGTGGGCCTCTGGAATTGTCAATCAGCTGTTAACAAGGCAGATTTTATTACCTCCATAGCTACATATTCTGACTATAATCTCATGGCTCTAACTGAGACCTGGTTGAGGCCGGAGGACACTGCTACACATGCTACTCTTTCTGCTAATTTCTCTTTTTCCCACACTCCTCATCAGACAGGGAGAGGGGTTGGGACTGGACTACTGATTTCCAAAGAATGGAAATTTACTCTGATACCGTCCCTGCCAACAATCAGCTTCTTTGAATTCCATGCAGTCACCATTATCCACCCCCTCTACATAAATGTGGTTGTCATCTACCGCCCACCGGGTAAATTAGGTCACTTCTTAGATGAACTGGATGTTCCTCTCTCATCTTTTTCTAATTTTGACACTCCCTTGTTGGTGCTAGGTGACTTCAACATTTACATTGAGAAACCGCAAGCTGCTGACTTTCAGACTCTGCTTGCCTCTTTTGACCTAAAAAGAGCACCTACTTCTGCTACCCACAAATCAGGTAATCAGCTAGACCTTATTTACACACGACACTGCTTCGCTGATCAAACAATAGTAACTCCACTACAAATATCGGATAATTTCCTTCTGTCTCTCAACATCCACATTACTCCTGAGCCGCCACACACTCCAACACTGGTTACCTTTCGCAGAAACCTACGATCTCTCTCACCCAATAGACTATCCACCATTGTTTCAGACTCTCTCCCTCCATCTTGCAAACTCTCTGCACTTGATACGAACAGTGCCACTGATACACTCTGCTCCACACTAGCATCATGTCTAGACCGATTATGTCCTCTTGCATCCAGGCCAGCCCGTGCCAGTCCTCCTGCACCCTGGCTCTCGGATGCTCTCCGTGAGCATCGCTCAAAACTTCGGGCTGCAGAGAGAATTTGACGGAAAACTAAAAGTCCTGCACAGCTCTTATACCAAACTCTTCTGTCTTCTTTCTCGGCTGAAGTTACTTCTGCAAAGTAGACATATTACCGTCTAAAAATCAACAATGCCACTAATGCTCGCCGACTTTTTAAAACATTTTCCTCCCTCCTCTATCCTCCTCCTCCACCCGCATCCTCCACACTTACTACTGATGACTTTGTTACATTCTTTTGCACCAAAACTGCAAAAATCAGTGCTCAATTTGCTGCACCTACAACAAACACACAAGATACACCACCAACACCACACTCACTCACCTCTTTTTCTCAGCTCTCTGAGTCTGAGGTGTCCAAACTCGTGCTATCTTGCCATGCAACCACCTGTCCACTCGATCCCATTCCCTCTCATCTCTTGCAAGCCATCTCTCCTGCAGTCATACCAACACTGACTCACATAATTAACACATCTCTTGACTCTGGTTTATTCCCCACTTCATTTAAGCAGGCTAGGGTAACCCCACTGCTAAAAAACCCAACCTGGACTATACACTACTTGAAAACTACAGACCAGTATCCCTGCTTCCATTCATGGCCAAGATTCTGGAGAAAGTAGTGTTCAATCAAGTCCTGGACTTTCTTGCTCAAAACAATCTCATGGACAACAAGCAATCCGGCTTTAAGAAAGGCCACTCAACTGAGACTGCTCTGCTCTCGGTCGTGGAGGATCTCAGACTGGCTAAAGCAGACTCAAAATCATCAGTCCTCATTTTGCTGGACTTTTCAGCTGCTTTTGACACTGTCAACCACCAGATCCTGCTATCTACGAGTTACTGGGCGCTGCGGGCACTGTTATACAATGGTTCAGATCTTACCTCTCTGACAGGTCATTCAGGGTGTCTTAGAGGGGAGAGGTGTCCAACCTACAGCATCTAAACACTGGGGTACCTCAAGGCTCTGTTCTTGGGCCACTTCTCTTCTCCATCTACACGTCATCTCTAGGACCAGTCATCCAGAGACATGGATTCTCCTACCACTGCTATGCTGATGATACCCAGCTATACCTCTCTTTTCATCCTGATGATCCTTGATGATTCCAGCTCGCATCTGAGCCTGCCTGTTGGATATTTCACACTGGATGAAAGATCATCATCTTCAGCTGAACCTCGCAAAAATGGAAATGCATGTAGTTTCTGCCAACCCGACTCTACACCATAACTTTTCAATCCAGATGGATGGGGCAACCATTACTGCATCCAAAATGGTGAAAAGCCTTGGAGTAATGATTGATGACCAACTAAACTTCTCTGACCACATTTCTAGAACTGCTCGATCGTGCAGATTCGCACTCTATAACATCAGAAAGATCCGACCCTTCTTATCTGAACATGCAGCTCAACTCCTTGTTCAAGCTCTTGTTCTCTCCAAACTGGATTACTGCAACTCTCTACTAGCTGGGCTTCCAGCTAACTCTATCAAGCCTCTTCAACTGCTCCAGAACGCAGCAGCACGAGTGGTCTTCAATGAACCTAAATGAGCACATGTCACTCCGCTGCTAGTCCGTTTGCACTGGCTGCCAGTTGCTGCTCGCATCAAATTCAAAGCTTTGATGTTTGCCAACAAAGTGACTTCTGGCCTTGCTCCTTATCTGCTCTCACTTCTGCAGATCTATGTGCCCTCCAGAAACTTGCGTTCTGTGAATAAACGTCACTTCGTGGTTCCATACCAAAGAGGGAAGAAATCACTTTCGTGAACGCTCACGCTCAATCTGCCCAGTTGGTGGAATGAACTCCCTAACTGCATCAGAACAGCAGAGTCACTCGCTATTTTCAAGAAACGACTAAAAACTCAACTATTTAGTCTCCACTTCACTTCCTAATCTGCAATTGCCTCTCTGGATATCACAATAACTGTAAAAAAATACTAATACTACTAATACTTTCCTTTTTAGACTTTACAAAACTGAAACTTGCCTATAGCACTTATTCATTTTTGCTCTAATAGTTGTGTAAATTGTTTAGTCCTCATTTGTAAGTCACTTTGGATAAAAGCGTTTGCTAAATGACTAAATGTAAATGTAAACAGGCTGAAAGACAGCTTCATCCATCAGGCTGTCAGAAAGCTGAACTCTCTCCCAGCTCTACCACCACTCCTCTCTCCCTCCCCACGCAGCTTTGGACTCTGACACTGACACACTGAAACACTTACACAATCTCTCTCTCTCTCTCTCTCTCTCTCTCTCACACACACACACACACACACACACACATCTGCACTGGTCACCTTATGACCTTATGTAGACACACCGTACTACCTCCCTATATGACACTGTCACAACTCTGGTTTGCACTCATTTGCTATTTGCCCTTAATGTCATTGTCATTGTATTGTTTACAAATTTTATTACTTATGCATATGTTTAGACCACATTTTATGTACAATTGTATATGTTGTAAATTTTCTTTTTTTATTAAAACTTTACTTTTTATATTAACATTATATGCTGAGCACCTAGGGTTTGAGAGTAACGTAATTTCGATTCTCTATATCTCCTGTACATGTGGCTGAATTGAAAATAAGGCTGTAATGAGGAGCCTGACACGGAGGGATCCATTTGCAGTATATTTATTTGACACAGTTCAATCACAATCATACAATACGCACTTACGTGCGAACTCACATCAACAGCATTCAATATGGGTCTAAGGGCTGGCCGCTGGCAGTCACAGAATGATAGTACAGGCATGGATCAGTGGCCGAGGGTGAGGTTCAGAGTCCAGATATCGGGCGTGGGTCAAGGGCAGGCGGCGTGGTTCAAAGTCGAAGTACAAGCAAGGTTCGGGGCAGGCAGAAGGCAACTCAGAATCAGAAACAGTCCAGGATAATACACGGGAGATCAGGCAAGGGAATAACGCTCAGAGATGTTAGCCGTGGCAGAACAAGACTTCGCAATGATCTGGAGTGTGTGTGCTGCTTATATGTGTGAGCGTGGGTCATTAACTGAATATGGTGCAGGTGTGCTGGCTGTCAGTGTAAGTGGGTGACGTAATGTTCAGAAGTCTGGTGATGGTGGCCTCTGCTGGCCAGCGAGGGGAATGACAGGGACCGAGTCGGTGACAGAGCCCCCCTCTAACGAACAGCTCCTGAAGTGAGAAGAATCGCGACGCTGGGGTCTTCCACGGGGGCCGAGGGGCCGGCATTTCCAGATGCTGCAGGTGAAACTCATTCAACAGAGTTGGGTCGAGAATATCCTTTCGATTGATCCAAGATCTTTCCTCCGTGCTGTACCCCTCCCAATCGATGAGGTACTATAATTGTTCCCCCCAGCATCTGGATCTCAGGATCTTGTGGATCTGGTAAGCCTCTTCTCTTCTGCCACCTCCCTATCCACCTCGGCTGGACCAACAGCAGGCTTGAGAAGGGAAACATGGAATGTAGGAGAGATACGGTAGTGGTTAGGCAAGGTTAGTCGGTAGGTTACAGGGGAAATTTGACGTTCGATTTGGAAAGGACCCACGTACATGGGTCTGAGTTTTCTGCAGGGAGTCTGAGGCGGAGGTCTCGGGTGGATAACCAAACCCACTGTCCTGGGGAGTAAGTGGGACCAGGACGCCGATGACGATCTGCTTGTTCCTTAAATCTTCTAATGGCATGAGAGCACGTTCCAAACCTTTTCACACTTCTTGAACCTGGAGTCAACGGCTGGGAGTTCTGAGGGTTCTCCGGACCATGGGAACAAAGGGGGTTGAAAGCCTAGTACACACTGAAAGGGGGTTAGACCAGTAGACGGTTTCCTTAAGGAGTTCTGTGCATATTCTGCCCATATTAGAAATTTGCTCCATTCAGCTTGGTTGTTGTGACAATAGGTCCGTAGGAAACGACCAATCTCTTGGTTGAAATGTTTAGTTTGGCCGTTGGACTGAGGGTGATAACCGAAAGTGAGACTGACGTTAACTTGAGGGTTCTTGAAAAAGGCAGACCATAATCGGGATGTGAACTGGGGACCTCTGTCGGACACAATGTCCTTGGGTAATCCATAGAAGCGGAAGACAAATTCACTGATCAGCCCGGCTGTTTCTAGGGCTGTGGGTAACTTGGGGATGGCGATGAGTCTACAAGCTTTTGAGAATCGGTCTATAACAGTGAGTATGGTGGTGTTGCCTTGAGACTGGGGGAGGTCAGTAATGAAATCTATAGCAATATGGGACCAAGGACGACGTGGGATCTCCAGGGGTTGCAGTAAGTCAGCGGGACGATGATGGCAGTGTTTGACCATTTGGCTTGATGAACAGTTATTGACCACCTTGATCACATCCTTAGTAATGGAGGACCACCAGTAACGGTTCTGGATCAAATGGATTGTGGCTGTACTACTTGGATGACCGGAACTGGGCTTATTATGGACTTCAGTTATGAGTTTTTCTCGAAGAGTTGGGGGAACAAAGACTTTATTCTCGGGACATGCCTGCGGTGTGGCATTTTGGGCTGATGCTTGGAGGATTTCCATCTCAATGTCCCATTGGATGGGTGCTAAAATCAGGGATTCTTTCATGACCGGGTGGACATCCTCAGCCAATGCCTCTTCATCCGACGAGCGTGATAGCGCGTTAGCTTTGACGTTCTTTGAACCAGGGATATATGTGACATTGAAGTCAAAGCGTGTAAAAAACAGTGCCCATCTTGCTTGTCTGGGGTTCAGTCTTTTGGCCAATCGGATATATTCTAGATTTTTGTGATCTGTGACAACAGTGAATGGGTGTTTGGTGCCCTCAAGCCAATGTCTCTATTCCTCCATTGCTGCTTTCATGGCTAGGAGCTCACAGTTACCAACATCATAGTTCTCCTCTGCTGGGTTAAGTTTGTGGGAGTAGAATGCACAGGGATGGAGTTTATTTGTTGTCTGGGATCTCTGGGAAAGTACTGCACCTATGCCTGTGTTGGAGGCATCAATCTCCACCGTGAAAGACAGAAATCTGGTGATGGTGGTCTCTGCTGGCCAGCGAGGGGAATGACTGGGACCGAGTCGGTGACAAAGGCTGACTTTGACTATTCAATAAAATACATTATTGGACTAAAAGTGTAGAACAAAAAAAATTAAATGGTTGTGTATTCTTGATAAAACTTGTGCTGTTTGTTTAAACTACTTCTTGGGTTTCATTGTTTTATGTTGAATGCACTTAAATTTGTAAAACTAATAAGTTAACTTAATTCTTACATGTTATCCCAAGACAAATTGGTTGTGGATAGAATCCATAACCATTGCTCCTCACCCCAGAATCAAAAATATCTGTTCCCATAGAAACATGTCTTCACAGGTTTTAAATTAGTCACAACTCCTGTGCTGATTCTCATAAACACATTCAATGCCTTTTCGTCTCACTCTCACAATGTATGTGTGCAGCTGGTCAGAGCCAAGATTGTGGTTACTCATGGTGCATGTCAAAAATATATAGTAATTAAAGACAATAAAACATGTCGCTCATTAAATGTTGCTTACCTGACGATGCATTCAGGTATGTGGACATACTCCATTGGGATGAGTTCCTCCAGTTCAGCTAAGCTGTTCACATATTTTATCTTACTGCTGAATTTTGAGCTGGAAAACATCAAATGCACTACATTTATTTATTGTTTTTTTATAAGAATAATTTGTATACTACTGTAGTTTTGTACACATTGTATTTTGTTATTTTAAATCACTGTTAGAAATATATTGATCTCACTGGGAAAATATCCATACATTAGCAGTTTTCCATATTTTGTGAATTATTTTTCTCCCATTTATTTATTACATTTATAGTTTTTAAATTGCATTGTGGCACCTTGATCTTTTCTCCAACAAATTTTAGTGACATTTATTGACAATTTTAAAGTTTTAAGTAATACATTGTTTGCATCATTGTTGTAAATTAATACAAATACCTGAGAATAAAATCAGACGATTTTGTGTTTTTTTTTGTGTGTGTGTGTTATTTTAATGCATAGCTGCATTTATTTAAATTATTACATAAAATATCGGTTTTATCCAGAATATATTTCAAATATAATTAATTTCTGTGATGGCAAAGTTGAATTTCCAGTCTTCGATGTGAAATGATCTAATTGTGATTCTAATATTTGGTGCTCCAGAGATATATTCGATGCTGAAAAAAAGTTGTGCTGCTTAACATTGCTTATAAAAGGACAAGAACGCATTTAGGTAATCAGATCAAAGGAAATGACACCATGAAAAAGGAGCAATACATAAAAATTCAAAACGCCAACATCAGGCAGTCTGCAATCAATCTGTGAAGAGAGCTTAAGATCAGGGTGAACGCATAAGAGGCTCTCTAAACTGAAAGAATTGAAGCTCATCGCTAAAGATAAATAGACAAAATACTAGTGGAGACATGCAAAAAGCTGGTCAGCATTTAAAGGAAGCAAGTGATTGCTCCAAATGCCAAAAAAGGCTTTTCTATTAATTACTGAGAAGGGTATGACACTGTATCAAAACATTTAAAATTCTGTCCCCATACCTGATAAAAGGTTTTGTGATGGCTAGAATTGTCCTAATGAACCATGACGGATGAACAATGATGAAAGATTTTAGGTTCTTTCTCAACCTGAAAATTGTAAACAAAAGATATTAGTAATATATTATTGAGAATATTAAAAAGTAATATATAGACTATACACCTCCTGTCAATCATCTGGTAGCATCTCTTGAGCCAATTGAGGCCAGGCATCCTCCGGTGTGGTGTGGCTCCATTTAAGTAAACAATCATATAATCTTCTGCTACCATGAGCTCCAGTGTACTGATAACATACCTGAAGTAAAATTTTTATTTAATTAATAATATTGATGTGATTAAAAGATAATTTGAAACAAGGACAACTGAATGAACTCACAGAAAGAGGTTTTCCATGATCTCGTGATAGTCCTCTCTATCACTGTCAGGAAGGAAGCACGCAGCAAACACAATGATGGCATTTGCACCATTGCTATAGTAGCCTATGAGAGAAGAAAACGTTCAAGGTTACAGAAGTAACCCTACGTTCCCCGAGAAGGGGAACGGAAGTGCTATTAAGTGGATTTGATCTTTGTGAAAATCCATGAAATGGGAGGATTCGGTTCAGCAGCCTCTTGTCTGAAAGAGTATTGAACGGGCCAATGAATGCAATGAATTGGCAGCGTAAGCTTGCACAGGTGTGCTTCATTGCCAATTATCCCAGCATATAAGCACACCTGGAGCGAGCAAACGCCACCCTTTTAAGCTGAAGAGATTTTCAAACAGCTAAGGGACAGTCATTATGGCGACGGAGTATAGCACTTCCGTTCCCCTTCTCGGGGAACGAAGGGTTACTTCTGTAACCTCGAACGTTCCCCTTCGGTTGGGGAACTTCAGTGCTATTAAGTGGATTTGATCTTTGTGAAAATCCATGAAATGGGAGAACTATGGAAAGCGCCATAATAACTGCACCTTACCAACGCCCCCGATTAGGGGATAGTCAAACAAGCGCGACGCACCCACATCATGGGAGGCGCGGTCCTCCAACGTGTCCCTGGCCCTAATTTATCCTACTTCAACAGAAGTCTTACGGATTTAGATATATTTTTTGGGAAGTCGTGAGCATCTAGATAATTCTAGGAAAATACGACAGTACGTTGGAAAGCGTGCAATCCCGATAGGGAGGACGCTGCGGAGGCCATCCGTTACCCAAGGGGGATAGATGGCAGAATTTACATATGGACTAGCCCTAAAAAGGGGGAGTACGCATAGCAAAAGAGTGGTTAGCGGAGAGGGAAGACACTGGTCCGCCCGGGGGGGGGGACTTAACCGTGGCTGAATAAGCATATGGGATCGCCTAGTGGGGATTACGCATAGCAGGCACCTATACCCAAAACGCGGGCTGACCAGCGGGCAGACCTACAACGTAGTGGGCCAGCAAGTGACTCCTCCGCTGAGTCAGTGCTGGGGGCCACGGAGGAATCTGCAGGGCTCACCTGACGGGGAACTTCACTGACAGATTAAAAGGCGCACGTACCTCCGTGTTAGGGAGAATGGCGCAGCAAGCGTGTTTCAACACCCTACCGAATTGTTTCCTCAATCACCAAGGGTTACCTAATACCCTTGAGGAAACCGGCTCCACTTGCAGATTGTAAAACCTTGCAAATGTGTTGGGTGTCACCCAGCCCGCAGCTCTACAGATGTCTGTTAGAGAGGCGCCGCGTGCGGGCGCTCGAGAGGATGCGAAGCTCCGAGTGGAGTGCGCACGCACTCTCAGGGGACGCGGCTCACCTCGGCTCTGATAAGCGAAAGAATGTCATCCACAATCCAGTGGGAACTTTTTTCGGTACGGCACGTCCCTGCTGCTCAGATGATCTAAACCTTGAGTGTGGTCTGGATATTACGCAAAACGCGAACTGGACAATAAAGAAAGGGCTGGGTCTGCCTCCTCCGAGGGCAGCGCTTGCAGGCTCACTACCTAGTATTAAAACGGAGTGGTAGGAACCTTGGGCACATATCGCGGGCGGGGTCTCAGGACGTGGGAGAAAGCCAGCCCAATTACAGGCACGAGTCACTGACCAAAAAATGCGAAGGGAAAATCGAAGGGATCTGACGCTGCTTGTGTAGCGAGGGCGAGATCCTAAGAGGGCATGAGAGGGGGCGGGGTGGATTAATTCGCTTAGCATCCCTGAGGAACCGGATGATGAGGTTATGCGTTCCCACGGTGCTGCCAGCCACCCCGTCATGAGAGCGGAGATGGCAGCCACGTAACCTTGAGTGTGGAGGGCGACAGCCTGCTCTCCAGCTTCTCTCGGCATAAAGAAAGCACAAGGCTGATCTGGCAAATTACGGGGGTCTTCTCTGCGAGAGACGCACCATTCAGTGAATAGACTCCACTTCAGGGCATAGGCGCACTCGGGGAGGGGGCTTTAGCCCGAGTGACGTATTAGCCACCGCATTCGGAGGTTACCTAAGTCTTCCTTGCGTCTAAGGACCTCCAAAGATCGGCGAGGGTGCCAGATAGTGCCCTGTCCCTGAGAGAGTAGGTGCTCTCTCGAAGGGAACTGCCAGGGGAGGGCTATCGCGAGGGAGAGCTCTGACATCCAGGTCCGGTTGAGCCAGAGGGGCGCAACCAGCAACCTGTTCCTCGTCCTCCCTGACCTTGCACGGTAACTGCGCGAGCAGGCTCACTGGGGGAAACGCGTATTTGTGCATGCCCCGAGGCCAACTGTAAGCCGATGCATCCGTGCCGAGAGCACTGGGTCAGGGAAAGAGCAACTGGCAATGAGCGATCTCGGGGGAAGCAACAGATAGATCTGGGCTTCCCCGAATCGCTCCCATATCAGTTGAACAGACTCGGGGTGGAGTCTCCATTCTCCAGGACGTAAGGCTGCCGTGAGAGCGCATCGGCTGCACGGTTGAGCTTGCCTGAATATGAATGGCGTGCATCGATTTCAGCCGCGAATGACTCCAGAGGAGCAGACGGCGGGCGAGCTGAGACATGCGGCGAGAGCGAATACCCCCCATACGGCTGATATACGCCGCCGCCGCCGCCGTACTGTCCGTCCTGAACAGCACGTGTTGCAGCTCCAGCACCGGAAAAAACAGTGGAGAGCGAGGAATACTGCCAACAGCTCCAGGCGATATGCCAATGCAAATACACACAAGTGACTTGGGGGGCCGTTTTGCAAACTGAATCGCATAGCCGAGTCTGATTGTGCGTATGAGCCACCGCGAAGAGCTGGCCCGCGCTAACCAGGCAGGCAGAGCTCCCGCTAATGGACTCATCGCTACAATCGCTGACGTACCAGCAGTGGGGCAGCACGGAGTGGGTGTGCTGATCCGGGAAGCACGCGGGTCCCACGGAAAAGGTGGAGGTGAGATGTTTGCTCTCACTCCGCACCCGAGCTCCGGAGGGGAGGCTCAAGGGGTGGGAGAAAGGAGAACGTCCTCCCATCGCGCGTGAGCCACTGGCGAAACGTACCGAATCTGCAAGCTAGAAAGCAGAGCGTACCAGACTGGCAGATTTCAGGCTGTCACAACCGGGGAAGTGGAAAAGTGCTCTTTCATAATGTTTTCATGGCAGTAAAAAGTGCCGTTGGAAATGGGGCCACGCCCTCCAGCGGGGAAAGAGCAAGTTCCTTCTTCTACAGATGGCCTGTCCCTGGGACGCTTCGCGCTCGCTTCGCCAGAGGCGTGTGCGGGGGCGGAGCAGCTCTCGTAGGCGGGCGCCTTCGGCGAGGAGCAGGTATGATTGGCACGGCGGGCGGAGCAGGCTACGGACCGCCGATAAGACATCACCCATCAACTGCTCACTCACCGCCTTGAATTCCTGGGTGAATTCACAGACGGTGTCGCCGAACATGGCTTGGGATATGGGGAAGTCAAGAAAGCGGACTTTGTCGACTTCGCGCATATCAGCCAGGGGTGGCGCTCCTGGATCACTAATGTGGACATCGTCCTCCCCAACGCACATGCAGCGGACTCAGTAGTCCGAAGAGCTAAGTCGGCGGCGGTGCAAAGCTCGTAAGCCTGGGTTGGACCCACCCTCTTGCAGCTCGGCCAGCGCCTGCGCTTGGTGGCACTGGTAGGTGGCTATCGCATGCAAGGCGGAAGCTGCCTGGCCCGCAGCTATGTAAGCTCTATCTCAGAGGGAGGCAGATAACTTACAGGCTTTGGATGGGAGACGAGGCGGACCCCGCCAAGAAGAGGCGCCGCGCGGATTGACCGCCATCGCGCACTCAACCTGAGGAATTGCCACATACCCCCTGGCTGTTCCACCGTCAAGAGTGGTGAGGGTAGAGGGACACGCAGCATGAGCAGAAAAAAGTGCTCCTCAAGACCGCGTGAGCCTAATGTGCACCTCCGGGAAGAAGGGAACGCCCCTCTAGTCTGTCCGGCCGCGGAGCTGGGGGATAAACCATCTCCAACCCACGGCCAAAGCAGCCCGGGAAAGCACGGCTAACATGTCCGTTTCAGGATCCGTAGTGACAGCGCTCACCTGCCCGAAGGGGGCGAGTGGGTCTGGATCATCATCGGACAATGAAAGCCCACCCTCCGATGCCGCGGTGGACGTCTGGTCTCCGGTGTCATCGGGCATTAGGGCTATCATCTGTTAGACGGATCGCTTCCACCGCCCGAAGCTTGGATGGAGCGCTTAGAGGAGCAGGAGGTCCGCGGGCCCGTGGGCGACGGATTATCTCTCGCTGAAACCCTCAGATTTGCCCTAGTGCAGAGCAGGGGACAACTGGGGTGGTTTGCCCTTTTGCAAAGGCTAGCCGCGATCTTTACTGCGCAACAGTCATGGCATCGCAATGACGACATGAACTGCCCGCGAGCAACGCATTAACATGCTGGACCCCCCAGGCATGTAACGTAGTGCCCGTCCCCATCATCCGAGGACAGGAAACCACAGCATCCAGAAACGCACAGTCGGAGCGCCGTCCTGAAAAGGACGTGCTGCACGACTGTGTTGCTCTTTCTGTGACGTTTGCAACTTTATACGCACCGCTCTGGAGGACCGGACCCAAAGAACACCAGGCAAGGGAGAAACCCAGCTCGACCGTCTGCCGCTGCGTGTACACACTCTGGACCGGGAGAATGCTCTCGTTCGCTCAGAATCGCTGGTCACAGCAGGAGGAACCCTCATTGACTCGATCAGAAAGTCTCTGAAGCGAAAAGGATGGCGTTTGCTCGCTCCAGGTGTGCTTATATGCTGGGATAATTGGCAATGAAGCACACCTGTGCAAGCTTACGCTGCCAATTCATTGCATTCATTGGCCCGTTCAATACTCTTTCAGACAAGCGGCTTCTGAACCGAATCCTCCCATTTCGTGGATTTTCACTAAGATCAAATCCACTTAATAGCACTGAAGTTCCCCAACCGAAAGGGGAACCACAGTTGTGAAAGATCCCTGCAAACAGACACTGGTTTCATCATGTAAACCCATTGCTCAACGAAATTAAGTCAAATTACAAGTTAGCTTTGTACAAAAAATAAATAAGTCTGAGCTTAATTCTATTAAATGTGTACTCAGTCTTAAAAGTATGTTTTTAAAAGTTGTTATTGCAGATGTTGTAATATTAATGAAATTAATGAACATTTATGACAGAATAAACTTTTAACTTTTGACAAACTTTTTGAATGTCATCATATTTTGGTGTATTGAAAAAACTAAAGCCCATAATCAAAGCCTACATCATAATAAGAAATGAGTGATTACAATAAAAAAATATTAGGAATTAAATTACAGCATATTTTGTTATTGCCTTCTATGCAGTGTGTAACAGCTCTAAGTGAATAAAAAATGAAGCTAAAGTTTAAATCGGAAAGTGCACCATTTTTAAAACGATTGATTCTTTAAAAAGAGTCAACTTGGTTTAAATAGTCTGTAACTGTTTTGTGATGATGTCAACAAAACATTTGCCATATATGAGATGCCGACCCAGAAAAGCTTAAACTGGCCCTTCTTAATACCTCTGAGGCAGTATGCTCAGGCATTCCGTCTGAATGGGGAAACATTATTTTTTTAAAAAATTGCTTACCAAGCTTAATAAAACATTTCACATTAAGAATAACCAATAAAATAAAATAGAACAAGTTTAATTTAATTTCTTCAGAAAGTCATATCTGGTCCGAGCCCCTCTCCTGGAGATTTGGCATAGCGATATTGTACTAAAGTGGGTCTTCATTTGCCATGTTGACTGTTACACTTTGTCCCAATCAAAACTATAAGAGAAGTCTTGTGTAATCTATAATGTTTGGCTGGGCTCACACATACAGGTGTTGGTCAAATAATTCAAATGTCTTCAAAAAGTTGATTTCTTTTACTGGTTCTATTCAAAAAGTGAAACTTGTTCAATCTATAAATTCATTTCAAACAGACTGATATATTTCAAGTGTTTATTTCTTTTAATGACAACTAATGAAAACCCCCAATGCAGTATCTCAGAAAATAAGAACACATTAATATCAATTTAAAGAGAGTAATTTTAAAAAATCTTGGTGAATTGAAAAGTATGAAGATGAAAAGTATGAGCATGCACAGCACACAATACTTAGTTGGGGAGCTTTTTTCCTGAATTACTGCAGCAATGCAACATGACGTAGAATGCTCTAAAATGTCCTGTTATTGAGCTGTGTTTACCTTGGACCTCAGAAAATACAGTGGAGCAGCAGATGACTTGGCACCCTAAACCATCACCATCTTAGAAGAATTTACACTGTACCTCAAGCAACATCTATTGTGTGCCGCTCCTCTCTTCCTCCAGACTCTAGGACCTTGATTTGGAAATGCAAAATTTACTTTTATCAGAGTAATTAACTTTGAAGCACTCAGCAACTGTCCAGTCTTATTCCAGGTGAGACACATATGTCTGTTGCTCAAGAGTGGCTTGACACAAGGAATGCGACAGCTGAAACCCATGTCTTGCATACGTCTGAAGCACTGACTCCAGCTGCGGTCCACTCATTGTGAATCTCCCCCACATTTTTGAATGGGTTTTGCTTTACAATGCTCTCCAGAGTTTTCCTTATTGCTTGTAAACCTTTTTTTACCACATATTTTTCTTCCCTTCGCCTTTCTATTAATGTACTTGGAAATAGAGCTCTGTGAACAGCCAGCCTTTTTTGCAATGACAATCTATGTCTTGGCTTCCTTGTGCAAGGTGTCAGTGGTCATCTTTTGGTCAAACTGTCAAATCAGCTGTCTTCCTCATAATTGTGTAGCCTACAGAATTAGACTGAGACACATTTATAAGCCATTAAGTTAAGTTAATTTGCTGATTAGAGTGTGGTACCAGGTGTCTTCAATACTAAACCTTTTCACAATGTTCTCATTTTCCGAGACACTGGATTTGGGGTTTTCTTTAGTTGTCATTCAAATCAAAGTTAAAAGAAAAAAACTGTTGAAATATTTCAGTCTGTGTGGAATGAATGTAAACATGATATAAGTTTCACTTCTTGAATTGAATTAGTAAAATACATCAACTTTTTGAAGACATGCTAATTTTATGACCAGCACTTGTATACTCTTCACCATGGTCGGCTACTTGTTGGGCGTTTCTCTCTATCTTTTGCTGAACACAGTCAACCAATCACAAAAGTGATTTTTGGAAAATCTGAATCGCTGATCAAATCATATGTGAGTCATTGAATAATCAGGTAAAAAATAAATGCATTTTATAAAACAATGAAAGTAGTTTTTGACCTTGTGTGCATATCAGCCCGTTGTTGGACACCCCCAAAACCAAAATATGATAATTTTTATAATGCATATGGCTGTTAAAAGGGTTAGCACCCAAAAATAGAAAACTCTGTCATCATCTATTCAACTTTTACTTGTTTGAAACCTGATTGAGTTTGTTTCTTCTGTTGAACACAAATATATTTCTTAATAAAGATTAGAAATGTGTAACCATTAGCTTAGTATTTGTTTTTCCTAATATGGAATTCAATGGTTACAGGTTTTCTGTGTTCTTCAAATTATCTTATTTTGTATTTAACAGAAATAAGAAATAAAGGTTCTACACAATTTCTCCTTTGTTTTTGCACACTAATTTGTGTGCTAATCACCCTCTTGTTATACATGACCCAGAGTTTCTTTTAAAGTTCTGATTGCATACCTCCATGGGATATGACTTTTTGGTAGGGTTCAATGCTCTTCATGTTGATGCGGTGCTCTTGCTCTCCAATGATGACCGTTCTCCAGAGTTTGGAATCCTGCCGTTCCTCCTCAGCACTGTATGTGGGAATGGACTCAACTGTTTCTTTTACAGAATCTCGCTGGGATGCTTGAGGTTCTAAAAACACAGAGAATTATTAATCTGCTTTCAATAATACAAAATGGTTACAAGTGTTAGTAACCTACCTTCCCAGTCTATTTCATGGTCTGTATAATCTGCTTCATCAGGTGTGTCCAGATCATCCACATTGATGTCGAGGTCATCTGGCGTGTCAAACAGGTCATCCTCACTTTGGTCCAATGAAAGACTAATACGGGGAGCGGACAGTTTTTTCCTCTGAGAAGACACACCCCCTTGGCCCTGTAGAGGCAGTGAGGTGGGTGGAGCTAGTTGGAAATGAGCAGACAATTAAAATGACGTGAATGTAAATCGTTATAAAATCAATAATAATTTAAAAAAAATAATAAATTAAAAAATAAAATAAAAAAATTACTAAAATCTTCAGAAGATTCTGTGTCATTGTTAGAATTCTCACCTGGTCTACTCTCTGCCCCTTCAAAACTCATCTTGCTTTCATAAGTCTGGTCCATCCCCACATTGCCAGAAGGGGAACTATAAGAAACATTATATTTATAACACTTTGTTGTCAAAGATGCATATAACTATCCACAATAGTTTTAATAAAAAATATTATTTCTAGTACTAATACTACTACTACTGCTACTACTACTACTACTACTACTACTACTACTACTAATAATAATAATAATAATAGCAATAATAATAATAATAATAATAATAATTATTATTATTATTATTAATATTATTATTATAGTAGGGTAATAATTATAATAAACTTGTTAATAACAACCATAATAAAATATACATTTATTCCAAATAATGCTTACAAATATAAAAGATAATCAAAGAATAGAAGAAGAAGAATAAATAAATAAATGAATGATAACTGATTAATATATAGTAGTTAACATGTGAAGAACATGCAAAAAAAAAAAAAGTTTTTCAGAATTGTCCTAAGACAAGACTGGGTGTTGTTTCAATAGCAATAAGACAACTTTAATGAAAGGTTTTGATCCACAAATGTTGCTACTTTTGTCCTTTTTTCATTAGTAATATAAAATCACTGTTCATTGAGACAATCACCTTTTCATTATCTTCCATGAGTTCAGAATAAAGAGAATACTTCTATTACAGAAATGTAAGGCTCTGCCATATTAGTTTCTTTTTTTTTTTTTTTGTTTCTGCAGGGAACACATTCTCTTATTCTCTCTTGTGGGTTTCAACAATTCAGCAATGTATTTTTTAAAGCCAATTAATTAAACTAGAATGCAATGCATTACTTTTTTAAAAATGTTATTCAAATATTATTAATTCTATTTATTTATATTGTTTTTAAGTAATGCATTATTCCTTTCTAGGGCCAGAAAGAATCTGCAGAAAAAAATCTGTGAATTTATGCAGACTGATTTTGGGAGTATTATAACTAAAACCTAATTTATTAAATTAACAATAACAATTTTTTAACTTTTATTTATTGTTTATAATGCAAATTCAATTAAATCCACTTATTTGGTAAACAAAGCAAGTCTCTCAAATAATATATCTACAAAAAGACAGAAAAATATTACTTTTTAAACTGTATTGTAAATAATTCATAGGAACATTTTCATTCATGAAATTAATTTAAAAACTGAATTAATATAAATTTACACACATTTACACAAGTAAATAAATAGATTCATTAATACACTAAAAATCTGCTAATTTCTGCATGCACACATTCTGTGTGGGCCTACTCATTACTTAGAAATACTATTTAAATAGAATCAACAAACAATAATAATAATGTAAGTGAGTCTAGTTAAATTGTAAAAAGTAAGAACTCACAGACACAAAGAGCTGTTTCAAATGAGTCTTAAGCACAGAAGATGCACTTAAAACTGTGAATCCAGAACTTTTGCAGCTTTTTCTTCAGTATAATACAATGGCAGTCTTGCATTGGCTGCTGCTGCAATCAGAACAACCAAATTAACTGTCAACAGAAATCTGCTCCTAAAATAGTTATCTGTGCAATTATTTCTCCATCTCCCTTTGAAATTAAAAGCAGTGTGCATTCATGTGTAAATGTATGCATAAAACACACACGCAGCCATGTGAGAAGGGAAACTGTCTCGCGGGAGTGTCTACAATAAGCTGCCAGATGGTTGCCAGTTCACACAGAGTGTTGAGAGAAAGAAAGAGAGTGGGTGAGGGTGAAAGTGAAAAGGTCTGTTGCTTTCTCCCTCCATCAAGATGTTGGATTAATCCATCCTCCACAGCAGGAAACAGAAAAAGTAGGCGGGCATTATGTCATCATCATGGACCCCTTCTTCTCTCTCCCTCTTCTTTGTGAATCACTCTTCCGCCTCAGTGTCCACACACATTCACATCTCAGTGTCACACACACACATAGGCAAATTATTGAGCCATACATGTAGAGCAGTGAATTTGAATGATGCTCAAAAACAGGTCAACTGTACACATAGGCTGAAGCCTCGTTATGGTAAAACGTGTGCTTGCATTCAACAAGACAAACATTCATTTATGATCCATATGCAAATAGAAGCAGCTGCCTCTATCTTGCATCATAGAGGATGCTGATGTTAAACCTCTTCCGCTATCGCACACAGATGCATCACAAACAAATGCCCATCCCTTCTTCCACTCCCAGCTTTCAAATCACAGCAAGCCTGATATAATACCCACAATGCACTCACCACCACGGTTGAGGCACACCTCTGTTCCCTTCTCTGGGTTTTAGATCATGGATGTGTGGCTGTATCTCTCAGCGTCAGGGATGCTCAGCTCATCCACTGCCGAGTGCATTCACCATTTTATGGTCATGTGACCTCCTCAAGCACCAAATAAGGATGTGAGGCTGTTCTCTCCGCCCTGAGCTTGAGATATAAATGAGTGAGACTGAGCAGCAACTCTCAATGAAGCTCAAGGGGTCTGAATGCACAGGTGAACATTATGAGGTAGTACAAGGTCACAGTGTTTAGGAACTGCAATTTTAAGCTGTTCTTTTTTTGTTACATGTGGTAAAGAAGTGCATTTACGCATTCTTTTCAAATAAGTTATTTAAATTAAAATTTTTATTGAATGGCAGCATTTTGGGTGTCATGGTGGCGCAGTGAGTTGCACATTCGCCTCACAGCAAGAAGGTCACTGGTTCGAGCCTCGGCTGGGTCAGTTGGCAATTTTGTGTGGAGTTTGCATGTTCTCCCCGTGTTTGCGTGGGTTTCCTCAGGGTGCTCAAGTGTCCTCCAAAAGACAATTTGGTAAGCTAAATTACATTGGATAAGTTGGCAGTTCATTCCACTGTGGGAACCCCTGATTAATAAAGGGACTAAGCCAAAAAGAAAATGAAGGAATTAGTGTATCTATATTTGTGTCTTGTATTTAAAAAAAAGAAAATGAATGAATGAATGCCATTATTTAAACATTAAAGTGATTTGAGCCAAGTAGGGGTAAACCAGGGGCAATTCCTCCTAGCAGAAACAAACTTGAGTAAAATCTATAAGAAATAGGCTTTTGCTTTTTAACATCTAAAATAATTTAAATCATATATTTACAGTTGAAGACCACATTACTAGCCCTACTTTTTTTATATTTCTCAAGTTAAAAGGAGAGATTTTTTAAATATATTTTTAAACATAATAATTTCAGAAACAAACTTTATTATATTTAGATTAACAAAATGATAATGTATATGACAAGTTATATTTGTTAAAATAATATTTTACTACTTATTTTCAAGATAGTAATCAGTTAAGCAATTTAAAGTTCAATAACAAGTTCAATTACCTTAACTAAGTTAGATTAACTAGGCAAGCCAGTGGACAACAGTTTTTTGTTCCTTACTTAATCATGGGGAAAATGCAAAGGGGGAAAATAATTCAATTTGATAATAAAATTTTAAAAATACATACTTTTAAAATGTTAAGTTAGCTCTGAAAAAAAAAATTCTAGGGGCGAAGCTGTGGTGCAGTAGGTAGTGCTGTTGCCTCACAGCAAGAAGGTCGCTAGTTTGATCCTTGGCTCAGTTGGCTTTTCTGTTTGAAGTTTGCATGTTCTGCCATTGTTCGCGTGGGTTTCCTTCGGGTGCTCCGGTTTCCCCCACAGTCCAAAGACATGCGGTACAGGTGAATTGGGTAGGCTAAATTATCCGTAGTGTATGAGTGTGTGTGAATGAGTGTTTGTGGATGTTTCCCAGAGATGGGTTGCGGCTGGAAGGACAACTGGTGCGTAAAAATGTGCTGGATAAGTTGGTGGTGACTCCAGATTAATAAAGGGACTAAGCCGACAAGAAAATGAATTTAATGAATATTTTTAAGTACATTTTTTCATTGTTACAATTGCCAACAGCAACGTTACAATTGTAACACTAAATTTATTAATAAGTCTTATCTTTATTTGTCTAAAAACATCAATTGTATTATTATTGTTATTAGTGCACCTAGGGTAGCACAATTGGCTCACAGCAAGAAGGTCGCTGGTTCGACCCTCGAACTAAGCCAAAAAGAAAATGAATGAATGAATTAGTGCACCTATATTTGTATCTTGTATTTTAAAAAAGAATTGTTTATTTCAAGTTATAAAGCAAATTGCAAACTACAATTACTTCTGGTTTATACATTATAGTTTATAATTTTGGAATATATATAGAAAAATGGTTAAAGTGTACTGTCTGAAAGAGCTGACAAAGATTTATAATAAACTGAAATATATTTAAATGTCATGTAATTGACACATTGTTATATGAAATTAATAAATAAATCCACAAATAAATAAATAAATAAATGTATATGAATCCAAACATTCCTGCTTAAATAAATGCATCAATAATTAATAGTGTGGGTAGATAAATAATTAAAGAAACTATACATGTTTGTACTGGTGATTGATAAACACCATCTCCTTAGCATGTTAAGTTGAGGAAAGTAAATACGGAGCAATGTAAAAAAAAAAATGAAAACATGCTTGAATGGGGGTGCAAAAATCTATTTTCAGTTTAGCATTTTCTTATTCCCCAATGTAATTATTTTTCTGCATGTACTATTTTTTATTTATATTCATTCAATTATTCATTCATTTATTTTTTGACTAATAAAGTCCCTTTATTAATAAGGGGTCGCCACATCGGAATAAATCGCCAACTTATCCAACATGTGTTTTAAGCAGCAGATGCCCTTCCAGCCACAACCCAGCACTGGGAAAAACCCATACACACTCATTCACACACACACACACACACACACTACAGCTAATTTAGCTTATTCAGTTAACCTATACCACATGTCTTTGGACTGTGGGAGAAACCGGAGCACCTGAAGGAAACCCACGCCAACATGGGGAAAACATGCAAACTCCACACAAAAATGCCAACTGACCTAACCAGGACTCAAACCAGCGACCTTCTTGCAATGCGGCAACAGTATTAACCACTGTGCCACCCTAAATGTTTTCAAATGTATCATTTTTAAATTATAACAAAGTGCACATGATGACAGATAATTTTGTCATACATTTTATGCTTCTATCCTAAACACTCAAAATTATGTCAATTTCATTATCAAAACCTAAATTAAAAAATAAACATATGAAAAAATAAGCATATTTCAAGATGTCTATAACAGTTTATGACATTTATTTTTTAATCCCCATTCATATATTTTTTTACTGTGATGTCAGTAAATATATATATATATATATAACTACATATTAAAAAAATGTCTTACTTCAGGAGTTCACAACTGTCCTGTATTATCTACATACTCAAATCATAAACTATTGTGGTCAAACTGTAAATCAAGGTTTGTGCTCTCATCATTCACTTGATCACCCATGAAGATTCATTGTGTTGAATCTGCTTTTTGAAAGTGTTCACAGAAAAGGTTACTCCTTAAATTACAAGGTAAAAATAGCAAAATGTCTGTTCCCTGCTGTACCAAGATGAAGCATGTTCTCTGATTTAAGATCCTCACAGTGTTGCGAGAAGTGTGTTGTGTGTTCAGCTACTCACCAGCTTTTTGCTCCAAGTCTCTTGTATTTTTTAAAGGAAGCAATGGGAGGTGCTCTATGACCTCTTACTCAGAAACTGTTTGGTCCAATGTTCATTGCTACGGTTACTTTGCCACACCTGACATAAGTGTAAAGACATAAGTCACTGCTAGATTTATAAATTCACTCTTTAGCTCTCTTGAACAATGTCAGTGGTGAAAAAAATAAAATCACATCGAGTTGCTTTTTAACTTCATTGTTGTAACAAATTGTAAATCCATAATGATCAGAATGTATTTTAGGGTACAAATCTCTGCATTAATAATTAAACCATTAACTGTGATTTTAAATCACATCGTGGCTCACTGTTCAGTAAAACTAGGAGCCCGTCAATAGATAAGAGGTTACTGACAGATTGTTTTCTACACTGTAAAAAATTGCTGTTACAAAATGGTGAGATTCTACAGTAAAATAATGTTTTTTCACTAAAACAGTAATATTCTGTTAAATACAGTGCATTCTAGGTAACATTTTTGTTTGTCGAGAAAATAACCAACAGCAGAAAACTGTGAGCTTAAAGTTCAGATTCAACGTTTTTAAAGTCTGTGTTTGAAATCACACTTTGTGCCCTTGTTCACTGTTCTATACACTAGTTCACTAATAAAGTTCACCTGACAGAGTTAATGAACACTAATGAGTGAATTCAGACACTGATGAGCACCTGCTGTTAAAGGGCCCATATTATGGGTTTTTGAAAATTCCCCTCCATGTAGTGTGTAACACAGCTCTAAGTGAAGTGAAGTATCCAGCTAAGGCTTAAATCTGTAAGAATACAGTGTTTAAAACGGTTGATTCATCTATAAAAGAGTCGACTCATAGTGCTTCAAACGAGTCGCCTTGATACCGACTCATTAGGTGTTTCGCCATGACGTACGAACGAAACCAAGTTATTCACGTGCACGCGCAAACCCGGGAGATTTCAAACCTGAGGCCCCCCCCCAGACACACACAAACATGCCGGTTGATTGAAGTCACACTGCAGATGGATATATTGAGTCTCTACCCAAAGATGAAACCTCAGCATTATAACCAAGCAGTTGGAAACTTCTGGAAGCTACATGCTACAAAGAATACTTCATCTGAGTTTGTTAAAGGAAGGATCAGTAAAGAGTAACTGATGGACGTCAGGATGGGTTTCCTCCATTTCTCAAGTGTAAGTACGTGCGGTTAAAGTTGTTGCCTCGTTTACTCT